CTAATCTTTGGAAGTAAAACGTAAGAAAAGTATATTTAATTAATCTATTATCTACAGTTATTATGGGATAGAGTTTTTGTTTCCTCTGATTAGAAGTCAATAATAATCCATAACATATGCCACATCGAGTTAGACAACTAATGAGCTATATTTTTCTTTAGTGAAAATCTCATGAGTGTTGCAACAGAAAAGCAAGACACTTTCATCGATAACTGTGTCTACAAAGAAATACTTCAATAAAATCTACTCTATGATGTAATGCTGTGATGATAGCTCATTTTTAAACTAAAATTTCAACAAAATCATTTTTCTCATGGATGGTGAACATTATTGAATGTGAAGTACAAGTACATTGTTGTAGAACTGTCAGACACTTCCAGAAAAGGATACAGGCCCAATAGCCTTCTGCAGGAACTATCACAGTTATAACTGCCCGGAGGACAGGCATGTTTGCTAGTTCAGTTTAATAAAGAGAATGCTTAAAATTATTTCATAAGACCCTGTGAGAAAATTTAACCATTAAAAGAGTTTTACATCTCTCTCTAATTGAAAAGTTTTTCCTTGTACTTTAAGATTATAAATATTTATTGTAGAAACATGTTGAATCATTCAGAAAAAACTAAAATTTAATTAATATATTTCATGAAGAAAATATCACCCAATTTTGGGTCACTGTCATTAATATTTCTAGTTGCAATTTATTACACATCATTCACAAGGAAAAGTTTTAAAATATTAATTTGATTTATCACAGCATAACATGACAAATGTAAGCGTGTATACTAATATTAAAGAAAATGCTAAAAGTCAATGTGTGTAAGTAATTCACCTTGGATATGTGAAAAACTCACAGAAGTCAGATATTTCAAAATTATTTATAAATAGTTATCATTTAAATTGTAATTTTAAAAACTGACTATGTTGCAATTCCATCAGATTAAGTTCATCGATCCTCACATAATTTACTTTCAATCACAAAAACCACGTAAGGCAAATGTTTATATGAAATGACCCATATGCAATATGATAATGCAAACAATAACTCAAAACAGATGTGAGTAGTAGTAATTTATCCATACAAACCATAAAATCCAAGTTTTCAAACAAATTTTGATAATACACTTGTACTTTTAAAAAAAGTAATAAAATATCAGACAACTATCAAATGAAAAAAAAAAAGTGTTGTTGTTTTAGAAATGCTTCAACTACGAGATTCTTAAAACCTGAGGTACTACCCATTAAGTTGCTATGTTGGCATAAATATATAATGTTTGTTTTTGTTACTAAGATCATGCAAGTAACAATTACACTGAAAGAAAACAACAGAATTATGTAGTAAAGCACATAATAATGTGTACGCCTGTCATGTTTTTAGAGAGCTTTGTTATTTCTAGCTCAGATAACATGTGTTAAAAATTTTATTCTCAATTTCAAAAGAGATGGAGAGATGAGCAAGAAGTCACAAGGCAAGGAACTTAACATTTGTGTTAATAATCTATGCACCATGTGAATTCTTATACATTAATATAACAAGTGATTCAGAAATTCATTTATAGGCAAATAATGTTCATAAGCATAGAGGTGAGTTTCAAATATCTGCTTTAACACGTCATCAATTTGAATCAGGTCACAAAATACTTTAGGACAAAATTTTTCTCCTATACCAACCCAAAACTTAAAAAGAAAGAGATTGTTTAGAAACAACAGAAACATCAAAGCAGACCGTCTTTTTATTAAACTGTGATAATGGCCCTAGCAACATTAGCCATATTTAACTGAGTTTATTCACTGTTCATACACTTGACTGGTCTCAACCTTGTCTTAATCTATAATCCTGACACTAGGTGACATTTTCTTTACATTAAACCCTTTTGTCTTTGTACTTATACATAAACCCTGTATGCTCAGGCACAGATCATACTTGATGAAAATAGACCAACCTTCTTTCAAAACATTGGTATATTCCTCAAAAATAAACCAATTCATTATGCTTATAAATCACTGTTTGCCAATTTATTATCCATTCATTACATGTAAGCTGCTGAATCTCATGGACAGGATACAACACACAAGTTTATCATCACAGCCAAAAATGCAAAGCACTAGTTTGTAATATTGTCTTCAGTATTAAAAAACAAAATGAAAAATAATGGAACAAACATTATATAGAATTATGAATCTCAATAGTTCATTTGGTTTTGATGGACAGGTCTGGGTTTGACAGTTACCTGAACCTAGCTGTGTCAACCCTATAATGCAGAATTATAGAGTCTGTTTTAGCTGGTAATTGTTGAAGCCACAAATGCCTTGTATTCTGACATTCTGAATAATGATGAACTATATGGGGAAAGAGTCATGATAATGTATTACATACAAAGTTAAGAGATGGTTTAAGACAAAAAATGTCAAGAATCTGTTTTAGGCAGCCCACAGCTGAATCCAAATGAGCAAGACTAAAATATATTGGAATGCCACTTTGAAAGGAAAATTTCACAATATCACTATGCTTTGAGTTCCTATTCTATAAGATGTATAGCAATGGTCAATGGGAAATGTCAGTAACAGTCTAAGTTGTGATTAACACCAATGATGGGCCCACATATTCCTTGTTAAAATAGGGTCACAAAGGTGTAAAATTGTGGATCCTGCTGAATGTCTACTGTAAGTTGTAATATTTGTGGTGATATAGTGTATGTTTTCTTTGAGCTGCTACAATGCTTATCATTAACTATAGAAATTCTCTGTATAGATTTTACAAAAGGTGTACTGATAATACCACATTTCATTCAACAATATACTACAAAATCAACTTTAACCTTGTTACTCTACATTTTTCTCTTGATATATAAATAAATTAAACTGTCTCTTTTTCCCTAAGAATAAATTTGATAACACAAAAAATGGATTAGCAGGAGAGGTAATATATATATATACTAGACCACCATGACCCATTGGGTCAACCACTATTCAGAGGTTATGAAGAAGTCAAGCTAATTTCAATATTGCACAGCAATATATATATGCTTTATTAATCTTTAGTCTAGAGACTTTACATCAAATTTGAATTGTTGATGCATGAAATTTATCACAAGTACCATGGTTGATCATATGACTTAATACCACATACGTTTACCAACCTTGTTGATTAAGAAAGCATAGTTCATACTTAATACTATTCAATTTTGCAGAAAGGAGTAAGTTTCTGATTTAACCAATAAAAATTATAAACAGAAAGGAGTAAGTTTCAAATATAAAACAATCAAAAAACAACTTTAAAAAATATTTGTTGTAATTTTTATTGGTTAAATCTGAAACTTACTCCTTTCTGTTTGTAATTTTTATTGGTTAAATCTGAAACTTACTCCTTTCTGTTTGTAATTTTTATTGGTTAAATCTGAAACTTACTCCTTTCTGTTTGTAATTTTTATTGGTTAAATCTGAAACTTACTCCTTTCTGTTTGTAATTTTTATTGGTTAAATCTGAAACATATCATTTTTGTTTGTAATTTTTATTGGTTAAATCTGAAACATATCATTTTTCTGGAAATTTCAATCATTTTATTTATTGCTCAGCTATAAAAATACTGTCTAGTTATAAAAATATTACCCAGTTCTGATTGTTGATGATCAGTGCGAGATCCAAGTTTTGGACATACATCGCAAGCTCCATTATAATAAAATTTTATATAACCATATATATTATATTACCACTGGATTACTGATGGTTTTACTTAGTTTATGTCTATTTTTATTGAGAACACATTTCCTGATCATGTGTTTATTAGTTCACTTACATTATTCTTATCTTTTTTTTTAAAGTACAGAGCACTTTTATTAATTAAATTAAGTTCATTTATTCCTAAGCAGCATTAATTATTTACTATTTAACCTATCTTAAGTCTTTTTATAAAGTAAATGACTGTAATATGGACAAACAAGCTCTACAATATTCATTCAAACAAGGGTGGTTCTACCAGTAATTGGCAGTGTATGCTGCTATCTAGTTGCCTTTCTTCCAGTTACTCAGTTCAAAGTTAGGGATGGCTACGTGCAGAAAGACATTTTGTAGATTTATGTTAAGTTCTGAAACAAATTGTGTGTAAGCTGTTGCAGCATCTGTGGAGGTAAACCAAAGTTGTTTGTCTACCGGTTTATTATCCCTCAGATATATTATGTCCCCCAGTGGGACGGCAGTAATTCCTTGGATTTACCTGTTGCAGCATCTGTGGAGGTAAACCAAAGTTGTTTGTCTACTGGTTTATTATCCCTCAGATATATTATGTCCCCCAGTGGGACAACAGTAAGTCTTCAGATTTACAATGCTAAAATCAGGGTTTTTTCCCTTCAGTGGACACAGCAAGTAGTCCAAGAATAGTTCAAACATCTGTTAAAGTAGACTTAGTTTTAAAACACAAGAAGACTATCCCATTCCATCATAGAACATTTATGTCACTCAGTACAATTTTGTAGTTCTGCCTTACAATCTTATGTAGCCCTTACATGTACACAAGTGATGGCTACTAGCACAAATATATTTTGATTACATTTCACTTTTACTTTCAATTAAATGGAAATTAGTGATTAGAGGGGTATCTTTTTGTACACTTCAACAATTACTCAAGTTCAGTAAAAGCTCTTGAAAGTTTAGGAGCTTCATGTGTGAAGGATGTTTCATTATTTAGGAATATAATGTATCTCTGTGTGTTTTGTTATAGCAAAGCCACAAAAAAAATTAAGACTTCAATCTTTGAAAATATTCTAATGCAAAGTACTACACGTATTGATTAAATACTGAAAGTTGCCACACCTGTCATGTGATCTTTAAGATATAATTAAACTGATGAAGTCATTAAGGTGCACACTTTTAAAAAATACGAGTCAGTAACAACTAAATAACATAATTTTTCAAGTACAGCATCAAAAAATAGCTTATTACGCATTATAAATTCAACAAGTTCCTAGTAACGAAGCAAGCCCTAAATGTAAAAATGTTTCTTCAGGAAGAACAGAATGCCAAATCTTCAGCAAATTATGATGTGGAACTTCTTCATCCAGTAGGAGCCCATTCTGAATTCTTTAAAACTGGTATGTTTGGAAGCATATAAAAATAATACATCATAGGGAACAAAAAAAGAATTATATAATAAATTTAAGACATTAAGTTTGAATATCAATTTATCTGTAAAAGGACTAGATGAACTTATGTGTGAAGTTAAAAGAACTTGCATCTTGCTTCTGACTAGAATGTGACTTTTTTAAAGAAATAACTGTGTTATTTTTCTTCTTTTAACCTTTTATGTTTTAAGGATACCGTACTTCATTACCCATTGAATTATTGCATATAATTAGAACAAACAACTTAAAGCTTATTGCTCAGCATAAAATTGAGTTCATGGAAATACAAGTGTGATTTGTCCCATTTTTAAACATAAAAAGAAGTAATAAGTAATATTCTTGATGATACCTTACACCATCTGGTACTACTGATGCACTGCTAAAAAAAAGTGCACATGATTTTACTAAAAATTAAAATGAACTCAAAACTTTATATTTAAGTCTCTGGAATTACATCAAATATTGATTTGTTGAGAAATGTATAGGAAGTACTTTTATAATTTGGTAAAGTGTTTAAAATACATGGTTTGTTTTACAAACTGTGAAAAAAATGTGATTGAACTTTGTTGAGTGGTGCAAGTTTAAAAGAGTATTTTCATTTTGTATATATATAGACACACACACATTTTATGTATAGATAAACACATACTTCTGATTGATCATTCAGTAACACACTCATTATTTGAAGAAGTTTTTTTTTACTTTCAAACATTACACAACTATTGGTTGTTAGGGTGATAGTAAGTGTAGTGTACACATGCATTGTTCTCACTATGCCACATGGGAACACTTTAAACAAAAGCACAAAATTTTAAACCTTGTTTAACTTTCTTTAACATCCGTTATTCAAATGATAACTAAACGTATGATTTTTTTACTTTCTTACATAAGTTACTTTGTTCAATATATTCTATGACCATTCCTGTGCATAGATTTCTTAAAATAAATAAGAATATTTAGTGGTTAAAAAATGCACATTAATTTATTGTATAAAGTTAAAAGTAAAATATACAATTAAAAACTACATATTTTGGTGGGAAAAGTTCCACCATCTTCTGGTCTTCTGAAGCTGGTGGAATGTTTTCTACCAAAACATGTAGAGTGTTTAACCATTGGATGTTCTTACTTATTTTATGAAGTTACTTTGTGTTTCAAACATATTTAAAGATCATAGTTTTTTATATATAATGATTGTGTACCAAACTAAGAATTAAATATACAAAAAAAAGTAAAATATATTTGATACTTGAAGCTACTTAAATTAGTCCCTAATATCTAAGGTTGTGGAATATTAGACATTGTTTCTTTTGTAATTGTTTAAGAAAGTTTAATCATGTTTGTCATGTCTCTTTAATGTTCATATTATTTAACTAAATTTTAGGTTATGAAATGTATACTGAGGTGTGTTTTTTTTGGCTTGTTTGGTTATACTATTATTATGTTGTAATTATTTTTTTGTTTCTGAACTACACATCACCTGTAGCATTATGAAGTTCAGTTTAAGATCACTTCATCCATATATATAATGTGTATCTAAGTTTTATGGCAAAAATATCAATTATTATGGTACATAATGCCTTATGCTGGCAAAACATGGTCTATAGATTGGTGGTTATTGTAACATTATCTCATAATAAGATTGATAATAATTTTTAAAGAGATTTTCTGTACTGGCTATGTAACCACTGTAGCCATTACAGAACGATTTAACAAGTAACATCAGTTTTTAAAGAGAAATTAAGCAGACAAAATTATATTGTTTTGATTATATGTAAGTGAAGGAAGTTCATAGTACCTCTGGTAGTAATATAAGAAAGCTCAAACAGAAACACTAGCTAATTATGATTTAGTTTATAGCCATTTAAAATGTAGAAAAATTATTACACAGATATAATTCTGTAAATTTAAAAAAAGATATGGTTTTAGCATACCTTGAAGTGTTGGTAAATTCAGGTTTAATACTAAGTATAAACTTTAGAGAACTGTAAGGATCCAGTTGTGTACTAAAGGTATATATAATTTTCTATCTAATGGAGAATAGTTTGAACACATTGAAAAAGTATTGATAAACTGATAAACAAGGAAGTGATTTTACTTTTATACATTTTAGATTCAAGAATGTTTGAAATTCTTATAAATATGTTTTCATTTATTACAGTTAGCTATGTTTGTGAGTTCATGAACTAATTACTGAGGTATAATTTGTAACTTGTATGATTTACTATTATTAGCTGACTCTGATGTCATGTTGCGTGCCTTATGTCAGGTGAAACTGTTGCAAATTGTTTTGTTAAACCAGCCAAAATAGGATTTTATTGATAGTTCTCTTGAACGTAAATGTAATAAACTCTAATGTGAATAATTCGCAATCTCTATATGTGCGTTTCTATGGAAAACCTTCTAGAATTTTGAAGAACCAAGATGAGATATAGATTAAACTGTTTTCTTTTTTCCCCTTATGGTAATGTACACAGTTTTCTAGAGCATAAACAAGCAAAAAAAATTTCTATTAATTCCTACCATTAACTTTTGGTGACTAGGGAATATTAAAAAAGTTGAGATTATGAAAGTAAAAATAAAAACTAGGGCTCTTGGTTTTCTTATGTATAAGGATTTTTTGGTCTGTAATTAATAATTTAGGTAATTTCAACCTTCTTAAGATAAGTGCTATTTGTTTAGGCTTTGCAAACACAGAAGGAGCACATGTGAAAACTGTAAAAGAGGGTCTAGAGTATGACTCTGTTATCCTGAAATGGTGTACCCCAAGACCAAGTACTGTAGGTAAGTACATTCTCTGTTACAGTATCACTTTTTTTTTTTTTTATAAATAACACAATGTACATTTAATTATATTTGTTGAAGAACTTCTAGTGCTACAAATTAAATAGGCTAATATTTTCCTTTCCAAAAAATAAGGAAACTAGATCACTGAGAACTATACTAAACCTTAAAAATAATTTATATTTCTGTTCATTATGAAACTAGGTAATACATAATGTTGGTAGTATTTACTGTATATGGTTCATTAAGACATCAGAATTTCTGATAACATTAATGCTGAAGTATATGATAATCTGTACCAAAGTTTGTACTGAATAGTTAGCTGTATTGGTTTCCTCATTCATGCAGAGAATAGAAGTCATTAGCTTATCTTTGGATGAAAACTTGGAATTATGGAGGTTTCAAATTAGTGTTATGTTATATACTGTGTTACTTTTATTGGATTGTATAGTTTGCTTAAGAAATGGGAAATTTGATTAATTGTTTAGGCAGAGTATTCATGATGAAACTTAGTTGAATGGATGGCAACTGCCTGTTGTAGAAACACGAGTGTAGAAGACGACGTTTCGAAGGTCTTCCACCTTTCGTCTTCTGAAGACTAAAGACTTTCGAAATGTCGTCCTCTACACTCGTGTTTCTACAACAGGCAGTTGCCGTCCATTCAACTAAGTTTCATCAAAACTGGTAACTTTTGAAGTTGGCAGTTGGTCTAACCATTAAATTTCAAATTTCAGTGTTCACTTAACTATAAAGATGATAATTTATACTTGCCCTGAGAACAGAGTTGTGGATTTATATCCTGCCCCTCTATTACATTTCACATTTTGAAATTGCATAGGATTTATTAACTTATCGTGTAGTTTGCCCCTAATATAAGTTGTTTGAGTGCAGAAAGGGCTGCTATTTATCAAATGTAAACTAAATATTAAAACAGAAGTGGACAGAAACTCAAAATATAAAACTGTTGTTTAGGGCACAATACAGTGTCTACCTAAAAAGCAATATACGTTTATCGAGAACATGTTTTTAAGATGTGTGCAATGAAATAATGGCTATAGTTATGGTTGTTCAAGTAAATAAAGTATAAATTTATTTACCTTTATCGAGAATATGTTTTTAAGATGTGTGCAATGAAATAATGGCTATAGTTATGGTTGTTCAAGTAAATAAAGTATAAATTTATTTACCTTTATCGAGAATATGTTTTTAAGATGTATGCAATGAAATAATGGCTATAGTTATGGTTGTTCAAGTAAATAATGTATAAATTTATTTACCTTTATCGAGAATATGTTTTTAAGATGTGTGCAATGAAATAATGGCTATAGTTATGGTTGTTCAAGTAAATAATGTATAAATTTACTTATTTGCATTAGAAGTCAAAAAGGAGGTGTACAGAGAGAGAGTGCAATATCTTTTTGGATTTGATAACAAGAGAATTAGTGTTATCTTAAACTTTGGCTAATACAAATAAAATCAATATAGTCCCTTTAAAGGGTGTGAGGATAATCTGTTACTAAAATAATCATGTATTGTGTAGATCAAGTGAATATATCAAGACAAGAAACAATGTCTTATTATGAAACAATATATAATTGTAGATGTTTTAGACATTATTATTATTTAAATCCCCCCCCAGTGGCTTAGCAGTAAGTCTGAGAGATTATAGCACTAAAATTAACACCCATGGTGTGCAGAACAGAGATAGCCCATTGTGTAGCTTTGTGCTTGAAAATGAACAAATATTACTTTGTGAATATAAGGGCTTAAAACTATTTGTAAAGGTAGAGATACAGTGTGATATACACAAGTATTTTTTTCTGTTAGACCTTCAGTATTGTACAGCAGCTCATCGTATTACTCCTGTTGAGGTGAATAGTCGGCCGTCATCGTGTCTCACAAACTTTCTACTCAGTGGTAAGCCAAAAAAAATACATATGTATGTCACTACACGGTGCATATGTTAGTAAAGTATTAAATAGTTTTTTTTTTACATTCTGATCTTACGTAAACAGTGAATGGACTGAAGTTTTTGTTAACTGTAGTATTAATCAAGGCTGATTTTGTGACACTTTTTAAATGTTTAAATTGGTCATTCAGGCTGTGTTTCATATTATGATGATTTACATATTTCACATGGAATTTTCTGGACTGTTCTTGTTTTATTGTCTGTGTTAATTGTTAGTCTATTTCTGCATCCATGATGTTCTCTGTCGCAGTTCTAGAACTTAATGTTTGAGCAGTCAGAGAAAGTGACAAACTAAACTGAAGAAAAATCTGCATACAAAGTTTGTTAATTAAGAGTTACCTATACTTGTGATGTTATGATGTTCTACAGATGTGAGGTTTAGTTTAAGATGTGTATATATATATACACTCAATAGTTAAGGTTGCATCTGTTATGCAGAACTCATAAACAGTTAAAGTATCACTGGCCATGTAGATGTAATTGTGTGATGTCACTGATAATAACCTGATAAGACCTTGTTGGCCATGTAGGTGTAGTTGTGTGATATGACTGAGAATAACCTGATCAGGTCTTGCTGGATGTGTAGGTTAAGTTATGTAATGTGACTGGTAATAACTGATCAGGCCTTTTGGCCATATTGATGTAGTTGTGTGATGTGACTGGTAATAACTGATCAGGCCTTTTGGCCATATTGATGTAGTTGTGTTATGTGACTGATAATAACTGATCAGGCCTTTTGGCCATATAAATGTAGTTGTGTGATGTGACTGATAATAACTGATCAGGCCTTGTTGGCCATATAAATGTAGTTGTGTGATGTGACTGATAATAACTGATCAGGCCTTATTTGCCAAATAAATGTAGTTGTGTGATGTGACTGATAATAACTGATCAGGCCTTGCTTTTCTTGTCTACATATGTATATGGTAGAATACTTTTTTCATAATTAAACCTTGTGTGTGTCTGTATGTGTATACATCAGAATACTAGATATTATTTAAGTTTGTTCTGTGTTTGTGCATGGTAATAACTAAAAATACTTGGAAATGATTTAATAGAGTGCTTTTTGTGTCTGTTGTGCTTTATACATGTCAAAAGAATTCATATTAACTAACCTTCGCTTTCTCTGTGTGCATCATAGTGTACTTGCGTAGAGTTAGGTGGCATTCTTTGTTGAATGTGTAGACTGTCGCCAGCTGAAACTTGCAACTTCAGAACTGTGTTTCAAAATTCTTTTGACTAATATTGCCAGATCGTGCAGTGATGCTAGAATTGCCAAGAAAATCTGGTTCAAGACTTTTATCCCACATGCTAGTGAGCCATGGTGGTGAGATCTACATTCACACTCTCGCAACAAGTAGGTCGATTCTTGAAGATCCTCCGTCTATTAGTGAAGGATCAGGTGGACGAGTTACAGACTATAGAATAAATGTAAGTTAGTGTTTCAAATTTGATCAAGGTATAAACAATAATACCAAATATATATATATATTGTAAAATAACCATTAATGAATGACTTGGCTGTGTTTATTTTGTAAGTTTTAATTATGTTTTTCAACAAGCAGGAAACTTATAATAAATGTTATTATATTTTGTCAGTTTTAATGAGCAAAACATATCACATAGCTGACTGTGGACATGTATAATAATAATAATAATAGTTTTGGGGTACAGTAAAAAAAAAAGTTTTCAAAGGCAGAAAGCAATGTAAAACTTAAGACCTTCATAAATGAGTCAGAATAATATGGCTTGGCCATGTTTCTCAACAATTCAGTCTTACCTATATCTAATGGATATTTTATTTCTACCTCTCTGTAGGGTTTAAGGTTTCTGTTTTGTGTATTGTTGTTTATTAGGACTTTGGAGAGTTCATGAAAGACCACCGACTAGCTCCTTTTAAATCTGAGTTAGCGGATGGAGAATTACCACTTGAGAAAGGTAGTACACTTTTTGTACAAATTTTTACTTAGTATTTTATCTATACTAGCAATACACAATGTTTAACAGATTTTGACACGGCACTTTGTTGACTATTGATCATATAATGTTCTACAGATTTTATGTGGGATATCACTAATTTTTCTTATGATATTTTACAATTTCCCGTGACATATTGTTGACTGTACTTGTGAAATCATCGTGTTTACAGATTGCACATGACATATTGTTAACTAATTTATGAGATTATCTTGTTATAAAGATTTTACATGTCATATTGTTAAGTATACTTGTGATATTATAACATTTTACAGATTTCACATGTCATATTGTTAAGTATACTTGTGATATTATAACATTTTACAGATTTTACATGTCATATTGTTAAGTATACTTGTGATATTATAACATTTTACAGATTTCACATGTCATATTGTTAAGTATACTTGTGATATTATAACATTTTACTGATTTTACATGTCATATTGTTAAGTATGCTTGTGATATTATAACATTTTACAGATTTCACATGTCATATTGTTAAGTATACTTGTGATATTATAACATTTTACAGATTTTAAATGTCATATTGTTAAGTATACTTGTGATATTATAACATTTTACAGATTTTACATGTCATATTGTTAAGTATACTTGTGATATTATAACATTTTACAGATTTTACATGTCATATTGTTGACTGTATTTAGAATGTCTTTGTTCTCTACCTACTTATGGTATACTATTGACTATTTTGACAAACAAATGAGGTTAATAATTTTACAGTAGCCATATTTTCTAAGATGTTTCCATATGACATTAGCTTTGTTCTGAAGAATAGACTTATAATAAGATTATTTTTTTTTAAGTTTTAATGTCTATGTGTTATTTAGTAAGTATATTCAGCATTTAAAGAAGCTTAATCATTTCTGAAATGTATCAGGTTCTTCAATTCAGTTGGATTTACTGATGGAACAAGCAACATATTCTTTTGCAACTAGTCAAGCTAAGAGTGTCTTCTTGACATTTTATGTAGAGAAAACAGTTGTCATCACATAAATATTCTTTATTAGTACTACTTTCTGAAGATTGTTTTTCATTTAATGAGCCCCAACATAACACCTGTTTTTAACGGTGACTCAAATCCCTTATGGACAAATTTATGGTAACTTTTTAGAATCACTTGAATTTTATAGGTATAACACTAAATAACTTGGTACTTAATTTAACATAAGTAAAAACAAAGAATAATCTTTTTTTTTCTAATAGCTGGTACCTACTTGTCACAAAGCTCCATATACTGGTGTCTTATTTAACTGTTTAAACATTTTTCTGTTATTTTTTTCTAGTCTTGCATGCTAACTTCCTAGTTCTAGATGAATTATAGATATGCGTATATTTTATTTACCTTTTTTATATACATAGTGTGCTATATAAGCTTGTTTTTATGTCCTGATCAATTCCAGGGTTCGTTTATCTTTACAGCAAAAAATCGTCTAAGTCGACAGACCCTTTACTGGCCAATGGTCATCAGTCACACCACTATATTCAATATGACACCTGTAAGTTTTATATTAAGAAATTGGTTGCTCTACTGTATTTAATGTAACACTGGTGACTTTTCTATTATTCAATCAGTCATACTACTATATTTATTATGACACTGTTGAGTTTTATATTAATGAATTGGTCATACTGCTATATTTAATATGACACTGGTGACTTTTATGTTAATGAATCAGTCATAACATTATATTTAATTTGCACTGATGAGTTTTATATCAATAAAGGTACAGCTGTTAATATGATTGGTCATGTAATACTTTCTAGAAGTTGCTTAATTAAAAAAAGAGTGAAATAAAATTTCTAGTTACAAGAAATCAACCTGACAGTTAAACTTGCCAGAATGAAACGTGTGTACTTTCGTTTTATTGTATAGAATATTTAATTAAATATGTTTAAAAACTGTTAGATTACCTTATTGTTGGTGTAAGTATTGGCAGTATGAGGCAAGAACTGTTTTTTTTAATTGCTAAAACTACCTATTTATCAATAGTTTGGGTTAAATATTAGGATTACTATTATAATATTGTTTTGTGGTTATAAATATTATTAACAGTAATTCAGTTTATTGATGAATAGTGTACATTTCTGAGTATTTGTGAAGCTTCTTTGTTCATTATCATTAATTAGAAGACTTTTTTAGATGTGTTATGTTTGTTATTTTGTTGCTCATAAAAATAGCCTCTTGAACCATTACTGTCACTGCTAAAGAAAGAGACGTTGACCACTGATGAAGTTATTGACTGTAAGAAAGTCATCTATAATCTTATTGGAATGGAAAGCAAAGGAACCCCATTGCCCATGCCTGTATTAGGTACCAGAGGAAAAGGTCCAAAAAGGTAAAGTTGAATTTCTACTCACCTACAAATGATCTAATTCACAAAACACTGTAATATAAAAACTTGTTAGACATGCAGTTGAATATTTTTCTATGTGTGTTTGTATTATTTTTTGTAACTCGAAGTGAGAGTTTGGTAGAATTGAATAGAGGGAGTAGTGGCTCTATTGAATAGAGTCAAGAGTGTATGTTGCACTCTTATTGGTGGAGGGTTGTCGCATGATGAATTGCATGTGAGATGCATTGAAATAGTCAATTCCAGATGGTTTGGAGTGTCAAAGCTTGTGGCATGTGCAAAAAATTTTTTTGCATATAGAAGGCAGCCCTCAACGAGAATAGCTATTTATGTGAGAGGAGGTAAGTACCTATCGGAAATACATTTTCTCTATAGGAAAATTATAACTTTACTAAATTGCTGGTACCGACACTCATAAGGGACCTGAACATAATGTTACTAAAATATTGGTATCAGCACTCGTGAAGGGACCTGGACATAATTTTACTAAAATACTGGTATCGGCAGTTGTGAAGAGATCTGGACATAATGTTACTACAATACTGGTATTGGCACTCATGAAGGGACCTGGACATATCATTACTAAATTACTGGTATTGGCACTCGTAAAGGACCTAGTCATAACGTTAGTAAAATAGTTTTAACACAATTGAAAGTATTGTGTAAAATAATAAATACCCTATAAACTGAGCACTTTCGAAAGGTGGACCTTTCTTCTTCAAACTGTTCCCAGTTTGCCCCTGAAGAAGAAAGGTTCTCCTTTCAAAGGCGTTCGGGTTATAGAGATTTTATATTAAGACTTCTTGAACCTACATGATTTTTTTGACATCATGAATGAAAGTACTGTGTTTCATCTATAAAAATCAACCTTAATAATATTATATACTTCTTCCTTGTAACAAAACAACAAAAAGCATTGTTTAATACAATCTTATCTTTGCTGATAGTTTGTGATGAATTTCAGTGATACTGTGTTCAGGCAAATGATTGTAGAGATGGTACCAAGTACCAGCATAAAATGTTTTTTGTACTAAATTATACAAATGTTATGTGGCTATGTGATACAGTTTCTACAATACTTACTTTGCTGATAAAGTATAAGAATGTCTAAAATTTTATGGGTGTGGAAATAACATATGGTTGTGTATAATTGCATACTTAATGAAAACTGGCATAAAATTTCATAAAAATCACCCCTGTTAGTGATATAGTGAAAATTGAACAAGGTCTTCTAATTTACTTTTTTCCAGAGAAGAGCAGTATCGAATCTTATGGAAAGAACTGGAAACGTATATCCGAGCTTATTGCACCACTGCAGAGCACCATAATATCTTAGACTGTCTTTTGGACTGTCGTAAGCCCTCTCCTGATAGTGACAGTACGATACCATCTAATGGAGCTAAAGTATCAGTTGTTACCACCAGCACTGGCACAAGAAAGGCAGAAAAGGGATTTGTTAAAGAAGAGAAGCTAGAAGCTGGAAAAACTGGAAATGGAGAAGTTGGCTGGAAAGAAAGGTGAGGAAAGGTTACATTAACAAATAAATGCAGTATGGAGAAAATATAATAACAAACTAACAATATGATAAACAAATTTGATAAAGCGCTTTTGATTTATTGCTAAAACGATATTTAGGATGTGTCAAAAAATTGTTTGTACTCAAACATAAGAATTCTGTACAAACGTTATGTAAACTAAGAATTTATTTTTCAGATGTACTCAATGTCTGTAACAACCTTTTAAAATTGACATGTTGAAAAGAGCATTCACGAATAGATTTCCTATGTTTGTTTAAACTTAAAATAGTCCACAAAACTAACATGTTAACTTGTAAAGAATTGGGAACAGCATAATAATATTTTATTGATATTTAGAAAGTGACATCTACATATAATTTAATGTGGTTATTTCAAATGGCTGTAGCAGTTGTTAACTAAAGCATGATTAAATTTTTTTAAGTTATTTTTCTCAGTTAGATTTTTTGTTTTCTCTCTAACTTAAAAATTTTAAACCAAAAGAAGAGATCTTGCACTTGAGGTGAGTGCTCTACCAACCAGTCTAAGGGGTTCACCCCCATCACTCAAACTATCCCATATATTATAAGATATACTTTCCATTTTGAACTATAAAGTGAAATCTTTTCTTACAAATATAAACAATTCACAGAATGTTCATAACTTACTTTAAAAATAAAGTTGGTTACAAATTTAATTTTTGTTTAAAACCACCAAACATTGTTTTATTTATATTACGACGTAATTCTTTGTTAAAGACTTGTGAAATTGTGTGTGTATTTTTTATTGCATAAAAATATGAGCTGCTAATATTCTGTTAAGTTTCAAAGGTCCAGTTTCACATGTTCATGCTGTAATGTTATGTATAGTAGCAGCCTTATGGCTTAAAAAATGTGCACGTACGTCTGAGTTGTGAAGAATTAATACAGCATTAGTATATTTTTGTTTTATGTTAATTGGCTTACACCATCAAATGTCACAAAATCATAGGTCTTAATGATTATGAATTGGTGTAGCACTGCCCTTTGTTTTAGCTGCTGTTCTGCAAGGCTTGTTTAAAACTAGGTTCTGACAGGTATTTTCACTGGTATTTCAAAACTTAGCCAGTTGGTGGCTAGAAGACAGTCATTCCTCCAAATGGTCCAAAAGATGTTCTGTAAGGAATGAAAAATTAGAAAATTTTGTTATTATTACTTTAAATTGATGGAAATGATAAACATGTTCATTTACCTGTTTGAAATTGGGTTTGGCCATTTTGACCGACCTTGTAACCACAAAACTATACATACTATAAGTCCTAATATATTAAGTGTATCTTCTCAAAATCAGCAGGTTTTTGGTAAATGTTACACGTCTGTTGTACTCAATAATTCAGATTTGTTAATAAAGTATTTTAACTAAAGATTTTATCTGTGAATTTACAAAGCCTTTACTTAGTCAGTCTCATAATAAAATTACTTATTTTAACTAAAGATTTTATCTGTGAATTTACAAAGCCTTTACTTAGTCAGTCTCATAATAAAATTACTTATTTTAACTAAAGATTTTATCTGTGAATTTACAAAGCCTTTACTGAGTCAGTCTCGTAATAAAATTACTTATTTTTCTTTTACAGTTTTCATATTTCATATACATAGATAGGTCCTTTGGCCAATACATAAAATTCAACTCAGTCAATAACCAGAATTCTCCACGTTTGGCATAATATGATCACTGTCAAATGTTTCACCTACATGTTGCCACATCCAAATTTTGTCTTCACTTTGGAGTTGAGTAAACCAACTCTCACCACTACAAACACTTGCAACTAGATGTAAACATTCCAACACTGCATTCTTAAGTTAGTTGTATCCCAGTCCTTTTCTCAAAGTACTCCTATTCATAGAGAATAGGCTTTATAGGCCTTACAAATGGTATTCATTCACATGTCACTGTTGTGCAGATTTGTAAAACAGGGACATTTTTTATGTTATATTAACAGCATTTTTCACCAATTCTCTATTCTGTTTACATGTACTGTCAGTATATTGATAGCATTAAATAGTTTTATGCCCAATAGATCATGCATTATCAAACATTGCTACTATTTCATATATGATTTTACACATACTTCAGCAGTATATAATATCTCATATTTAATAACAATTCGTCATAAAGGATTTAATATTTAAATAGAATCTTATTACTGTCCTTTGTTTTGTTTTTCTTGTGAATATTGATAATAATAATCACTTGCATTCATCAATGAATATACTATAACTGATAATGAATAGCTGGTTTTTTATTTTATTTCTAATTAACTCTGTGCTAATCCAACTTTGGTTAATATAACAAGTACATACAATGGCTGCGTAAGTTATTTTCCTGAACTTATGTATCATCTGTTGTGCATTATAACCATTATTGTTCTTTACAGAGTCAGCCAGTTTAGTGATGTGGACATTCACGAAGATGGAGGAAACAGTTTTAAGGTGCCACCAGCTAAAAAGATTCGGTTAGGTTTGCAGGATGACAGAGGTCGTTTTAGTGGATCTCAGTCACTTCTTACACTGTGGACCAACAGAGTGAATGCTGAGCATTCTAAAAGACACAGGGAGTTTTCTGGAAGGATAGCTGCAGGAAGTGGACCAGCCTTGTTGTACCAGAATTTAAACTCTGATCAGTACGTTTTTATTTAAAACTATTTAGTACAGTTACACCTATACAGACATTAACATTGTGTATCTCTAATTGTCTGCATCTGTTATTATGAAAACTTACTCAGCCTATAATTGTTTGTTACATAATAGATTGTAACTGAAAAATAGAATCAGAAACTATTTCAGATAAAAATGAGAACAGTACCTTCTTGAAGTGAAATTCAAAATAAAATAAATGTGTATAGTGTTAGTTTCTAAGATTTTTCAGATTTTACAATAAGATAATTCTATACATATGTCTGACAAACTTAAGATTTTATATGAAGTTTCAGAATTCATATCTAATATAACTATTCAATAACTATCTGCTTGAAATAAAAGATCTCCAGTGATAAAATGACTATTCCAGGTTATTTTGATAGGCTATAAGATAACAAAATAATTAGTTTTATTTTTAGAAAATATTCTTTTTTTTTATTTTCTTTTGGCAATTTTTCTTATATTTTATTGTCAAGTCAAAGGTCTACTCTCTACGCTGTTAAATAAAACTAAAATTTCAAAATCAAAATACCTTTAAACAGTTAATCCAGTTAAACCATTTTTTTTTTAAATAAGAAACCTTTTACCATAGTCTTTAACTAAAATCTGACAGATCACTGGCTGTTGTCAGGAAAACTTAGCTTGATACTTTGAAACATCTTGCACTTCAAAAAGCCAAATTGTAGAATGAAACTATAGTTTCAACTTTCCTTAGCCATCAATTCATCCCCCACCCAGCCAATCAGGAAATAAGAGAACAGCACAAGAAGCATTCCTAATTTCTTATTAGCCAGTAGAACATCAGCTATGTGTATATATAACTTCATAAGAACCAATTAACATATAGGCATGCACCACTTTAGTAACCACACTACTTAGGTAAAACTTGCCATCTAACAAGGTTCTGGGTGACTTTGTTTGCATTACAAACTCTTGGAGAAACCTCAGTGGTTAAACATAGCACAATACAGTGAGAAGTAGGGCAGTAGTTACACTATCAGTGTAGTATGGGTTACCCCTCAAATAGTTACTGTGCTCTTCTTCTGCAGCCAGAATCTGTACTGTAGAGTTAAAGTGAGCACACATCGTGCAGTCTGATTGCCCCCTAACCACACTACACATTAACTCACTGACTACTTGTGTGTGGGTGATTGGTTGGTTGTGGTCACATTCTGCTCATCCCTGTGACACTTTAAGCTCTTCTACCTTTCATCTCAGGCAAAAAAGTATACCCTGGTTGAGATGAGATGTGGTCTCCCATGGGTCTGCCCCTGTCATCGGGTGTCGTACTCCATGGGCTTCCCTTTGGGCACTTTCTGAAAGGAGCTCATCTAGGTAAATGTTGTGCACCAGCTCTTCCACCACTTCAACATGAGATTCTAGCATTTCTGTGTGAGGAGGTGAGTTATCGTCTCAGAAGTTAACATTTTCTTAATATGAAAATGTATTTCTGATAGATACTCACCTCCACACTTATTCCTACCTGACCTCCCCACTTTTAATGCACTTTTTTTCTTGCCTCTTATAAGAATGAAGTTATTATGAGTGCAAGTGAATGGGAAAAGTTACTGCACATGGAGAGGTTGTGTTGCCCTCCTATTGGAGGGCAACTCATATATTTTGAGTGTGTATGCATATATATAAAGAAACAAGACTTTTTATAAGAGTGTTTTCTATAGGACTACTATTTTTCTTAATTCTAGGAATAACCAGGATGACAGACATGTGATTGCTCAAAAGGTTGGTTATTATCTATACAAAATAGTATTTAGTTATAAACTGATAATAACATTTCAAAATAAGTTTGTGATGAAAACAGTGTAGGAACCATTAACTTGTAACCACCTTGACTCAAGATCTGTGTAGAGACAGTAAAATATCTTTGAAACAATTTTATTTTAATAACAATGGAATACGGGCAAGTATTTGGAACTTGGTATAATGTTGTCAATGTGTTTTTTGTATAAAATTCTACAGTGTGATATATATACGATACAGACTATTAAAACCAATTAAGTTCAAGTGAACTGTAGTCATGAAAAACAATCCCCATCATATTAATTTAAACAGAAATCAGACTGTGATCCCCACACTAACCAGTAAGTGTGATAATGATGTAAGTGTTTGATTTCATTTTCAGAATATCAATATCAGTGGGTTTGTGAAAGGAAATGCCAGTCACATGACATACATAAAAGAGGAGCCTCAGGATTTTGCAGCACGATTTATGCCATGCCCAGATGGCGAAGATATTCAAAATGGATAAAGCAGTGAGTTTTGTAATTATTTCCCCACTCTGTACAAACTGAAATAAAATGGTTCTTGTATTGTTTTGTTTTTATTGTACTTTGATCATCTTTCTTTCCTTGGAGGGGGAGCTTGGTCCAGTAATTAGCATGCTGGACTGTGGAGCTGAGATTTCGTGGTTCTCGTTCCACTGTTCGGTTCGACTGGAGTTGGTGGATTGTGTTGTTGACCACCTGCTTTCCCTGTAATCTATCACTTTAAAATTAGGGATGTCTAGTACAGATAACTCTCATGTAGCTTTGCGTGGAATTCAACAAACATAAAACTTTATTTTTTTTAGATTAATCATTTCTTAGTTTATTTGCCCAGTTCATTTGTAATTGAAGAAAGACAACTATATTGAAGAACAGTTTTGTTTATGACCTACATTTATTTCTTTAAGTAAAATTCACACATAAAGTTTCCACAAAAAAATTAAACTTTTTTTCTTTTTTTTTTTATTTGCTCATTGGTATTAAAGTCATAAGTATTTGACAATCAAAATCATTGGGGCTACAAAATTGTAAGATTTACAATCCAGGTTTTATCTTTTCCTTTATATGGTGGATGTAAAAGTTGCAGCAAAGACCTTTGTTTTTTGTGAATAATGAGTTTGAAAAATTCTAATATTAACTAGTTGTATTCACTCAATAAAAAACAAACTTCGTAATTACTAGATGTCAATACATATAGGGACACTTAGCAGATATAAGTTATAATTCTAACACTTATAATCCTCTTGTACTTTAATGTAGAAGATTCCATACAAAAAACTACAACCCATAAACAAATGTTATTATATCCATTTATCAGTAATCAGAATAATAAACAATGCGACATTCTTAGTTACTTAGTCAATCACATGCTAAGTATTAAAAAGAAAAGTAACAGTATAAATATTTTACAACTTTCTGATAATGCTCTAAATATTTTCCCACAATTATGTAATTTCGTACTCTCTCTCTTCTTAAATATAAATGATACTAGCTGGAGTACCCGTCCATTGGACAGGTGAAATAAAAACTTGTTTGTAACAAAGGATAGGAAATTGTGCTTTTATTTTATTTTTTTCTTAGCATAATAAACATTAAAAGTGCAATAAAAATACATAAGGGTACCAATACTGAAAAGAAAGACATAATGTTTTCAAGAATTCTAACAATAGTGGTTAAAAACTTCATTCAGATGCTGAGGGATATGCAACATTGGTAGTTTTCCGAAATTAAATATGAAATTAGAGAGGGTCCAAATCCCCTTGTCCTTCCTCGTCATTCTGCATCACTGTGTTAAGTTTGGTGTTGATTGATCAAGAAATGTGGAAACGTATAAGGAACAGATACACACACATATTGACGTTTATTTATATAGATAAAAATACATAAAGGTACCAATACTGAAAAGAAAGACATACTGTTTTCAAGAATTCTAACAATAGTGGTTACATAGTTCATTTTAATGCTGAGGGATATACAACAATAGTAGTTCTTATGAAATTAGATATAAAATTAGAGGGAGATCCACCCCCACATGACTTTCCTCATGTCATCCTGTATCACTGTGTCAAGTTTAGTGCTGATTGATCAAGAAATGTGGAAATGTATAAGGAACAGATACTCACACATATTGACGTTTATTTATATAGATTGGTAACAGTTATGAGTTGAGAAAGTGATGCGTTGTAACCTACATCTATTTCTGTGAGATTTTCAGACAATATGAACTGAATTTTTCAGTGGAATCGCTTAGTTTGCATTTGTGACTTAGAAACCTATGGCTGAACTAGATGTTGCGAATTACATTTATTCAAAGTCAAAATTGAAACCAACTTTCTAATAATTATCTCCATAAAAATTACTATGTTAAAAACATTTACTTTTGACACATATTTGAGAAACTTATAAACAGTACAAGATCAATGTTCAAGAATATTTTTCATATTTCACTGTTGAAAAGAATAGCTTCTCACATGATTAAGGAAGTGAAAAGAATAGCTTCATTCTTTTCACTTCATTAATCATGTGAGAAACTATTCTTTTCACTTCCTTAATCATGTGAGAAGCTATTCTTTTCACTTCCTTAATCATGTGAGAAGCTATTCTTTTCACTTCCTTAATCATGTGAAGCTTCTCACATGATTAAGGAAGTGAAAAGAATAGCTTCTCACATGATTAATGAAGTGAAAAGAATAGCTCCTCACATGATTAAGGAAATGAAGGTAATTTTTGTAGGATCATGCTCTACTTTTTAAAGTGACTTTGAGTAATATTGTGTCAACTCAATCCTACAAAACAAAATTAAAACCTGAACTTATAGACCTTTCTGGAGAGTAGACCTATATCTTTAAAATGATCATGAAAGAGGGGTGGTCTTTATTTTTTAAAAAAAGCTACACATTCAACCTCCGCAGTAAATGATTGGCTGCTTTATGTTTCGTAAATTATTATCTTGTTTGTATATCATGAATTGTTTTTTTGTCTGATTCTTTCAATCTTTGAGAACCGGAGGGTTAATCTCATTTTGTAACTGAACATTAAGAATAATTGTTCAGTTGTTATTTCTAGGATTAGAATTTTGTTATATTTTGACACTTCTTTGGTGGTAGATCCAGTATGAATCTCTTCACAAAGGTGTATACACGATTCACTACTTTAGTCTTTCAATATGGAATGCATGTATGCTATAAAATGATATTTAGATGTATTTCTACCCCAAAATAAAATGTTTGCTAAGACTAAAAGGTTTCTTTGAAGTCAGTGACGTGGTTCCATTGCTTATGATGCTTCAAATTAAGAAACCTAACACAATTATATATAGTGTTCTATGCAGAACATTATAATTTACATCTTGGTTATAAACCTCTAGTGTTAATTGTTGTTTGACTTTTATGTAATTGAAATAATTATTTTCATGCAGTGCAAATAAACTAAGTTCTTTATTTAGTTATTACCAGGATTAATGTTAAAAGAAAAAAAAACATTTTATGCTATTCAAAGACTGAATAGATGAAGTACAACTGTAATAAAGGGCTCAAAGTTCTACAATATGAAAGGATAAGTATAGTGACTTTTCATGGGTTAAGTGATAGACAAGAGTCAGTGTGAAGACTGTTAAATACAATATATTTATTACTGTGAAGTACAGTGAAACAATGGCTGACTGTGCAAAATGGTAGTATATTCTATTGTTAAAGTTAAATGCATTGAACTTGTTCAAACTGTACTTAAATGAAAATAAAAACAGTCAATGGCTGAAACAACGAGAACTGATAAATCCAGTTAGTGTTGGTCAGTGGTTCCATTTTCTTGAAACTGAATTCCACATACAAGTAAATATATACACATGTCAATAATTTTGTTATGCATTTAATTTTTATCAAAATCTGTGTCAGAATAAAAACATTGTTCACAAAAGAAAATTAGGCATGTGTGTAGTAGTGACGGCTATCATTTCTATAGCTTTACTTTTGTAATATTCCAAATTTATGTTTTATTTCGAGACTTTGAGTATAGTTAGAGAATTGTTTATATGTTCTCTGACTGGACATGTCTGCACGTGTTTAAATTTCATATTTAAGTCAATCTTGTCTTGGTTGCAATATCATTCAGCTTTAGTAGAAGACACACTTGTCCTCATTTTCATGCAGCAAAACCCTTTTTATCTACTGTTGGTTCTGTGTAGTTCTGCATATTTAACTAATACAAAAAGTCAGTTGAATAAATAATTTTATTTTAATTTCAACTGCTTTAATATGTACAACTTATTTATTCTTCCTCTGTTCTAAGAAGTTATGTCCCCTTTTTTACTTGTATGAGTTGTTGTGTGTTTTATAGGGGCGAATGTAAGTTAAACCAGTTTCTTGACCAATGTTCAAGTTTAATTGGATTTTAAAATCATGAACAGTCTAAAAGGGAGAAGAAATATGTAATATCCAGAGGTACTAGGATTTTTCTATCCCCATTTTTCAGCTCTTGAGTTCATCTAAGCTGTTAAAAAATGCGTATAAGTGTGTATGGTTTTTAACCATTAGAAAGTTGACCAAAGAAGTGGCTAGGTTCCTTTCGCCCCATTGCCAATTGTTTTTGGTTATTCAACTAAGGTATTACATACGCTTCTTTGGGAAAGATTTCTATAAATTTTAACACTGTGAGAAAGTAGATTGCAATATTTTCTATTAGTGTGTCTGGTGATACTTTGAGAATACATACATCGTTATTTTTTTATGGGAATGACTAACAGTGGTGTAGTTTAGCGCATGTGCCTTGAGAAGATTAGCATTCTAGAAGTGTGTACATAATACTATGTTTTTTTTTGGTCTGGGGCATGTTTTCTTCTTTGGCTGTGGTTTCGCTAGATAGTAGATAGGGACAGTTGGAATCTCGTTAATCCATTAATTGTTTTCTTCTTTATAGATTTACTCCAGTATATGTGCTGACTTTCGTCCAATACTAGACATTTTTTAAAAATGAATACTGTTTTTACTATGTTTTACACTGCGTCCAGTTCTTTCTTTCTGGCAACTTAGAGAATTCGGATTTTCTGCATTCATAAATATTGGTAACTTTTACTTCAATTACATAACAGTAACGAAGATTAGTTACTCTTTAACCAGAGATCCTAAAACAAAATATAACAGAAAAACAATTGTATTGGTCTGATTCAGAGCTAACCCAATTAAACGTAACGATTTATTAACTGCAAGCCTAATAGCCTATTATAACATAATATGAAAGTGTTAAAATCTGACAATTTTGAAAATATCATATTCGTGAGAACTGGGCTGTTATTTATGAATATTATAGCCGTGACCCTCTAATAACATAGATTTTATTTATTTGTTGTTAAGCACCAAGCTATAAAATTGTGTTGTGCTCATCACAGGCATCGAAAACCGAATATTAGTGTCATAAGTCCAGAAGTTTATCACTGAACCATTGGAGGGCACATCATAACACAGAAAATGATTTTTTTTCTATAGTTTTTCAAAGTTGTACTACAAGTTGCCTGTATTATACTAATATGCAGCTTTGTTTGCTTGCAAATATATAATAATAATAAAAACACAATGTCTTTAAATGGAAATTAACTAGATAAAGTACCCGTTCCCTGGACGGAAGTTATGTAAATTCATGATTAATGAAAGGTTGCTTCCCTTATACGTAATTGTAAAAAACGCCCATAAAACGCAAAACTGAAAATTTGTAAGTATGGACCCAATGAACCTCCATACAAAATTTGGTGAAGATTTTCTACAGGAGGCGAAGTAGTATTAAAAAACGCCCATAAAAACCGCAAAA